TTGGGGTACCCATGAGTATCTGCTTGAGGCACTATGCTTTCTTGGCCTATGAGCTAAAAGCAGGCATAAGGTCGTTGCAAGCTCTTGGGAATACAGCTGTCTTGAATTTGCGGCGGACAGATATTTTGCTTGGTAAACAAGTAATTGGCATCAGCGCACGGTAATGAACTAGTTCATTTGCAGTTATTAGCCTTTGCTTGTGTGGGGAAAATTAATGGGGTCAATGCTGTTATGAACGTAATTTCAAACAAGCTCCTATACTCTGTCCACAGGACTGCAATCACTATTTAATTTCACAGGGGCTTTTATGAGATGGAATTCTATCACTCTTTTCTATTGATTTTTATCTGATCAATGTTTGACCAAGTTTTCAATGATTCCACTAGTTCCATATGCCACTGGTGTTCCATGACTTGTAGTTGCCTAGTAAATAGTAATTTTGAAACTATGCACCTTGGTACTGTTCTGAAAATTTGCAGCAAATAGTGGGTGTGACCTTGTGACTTGCATGTTAAAAGTTGAACATACAGGGCATTTGTCACACCCAAAGTGTTTTTTTTTGTGTTTTGTACAATTTGCCTGCATCCCTAACAACTATAACTTAATGATTACAACTTTAATGAGATGACATGCTAAATTACAGAAGTCATTTTAGCAACATTCTCAGTGTTTTTTTTATTTTCTTTATGGTTTGTTCATCCAGTTTAAAGTATCATTTTCACCCCAAAAAAGCTCAATGTCTCTCTTGAGAAGAAATTGTGACATTTATGTATGATCTGGCATTTATAAACACTTGGTGTGATGATGACTTCTGGTCCAAATGTTTCTTCTAATTCAGTGGCAAATGGTGTTTTCATTGTAGATGTATCTGTAGAGCTTTTTTGGTAGTTAGTCATTGTAATCTGTGACTGTGATGGATAAGCATTCCACTATGCATTTATAGGAAACATGAAAGAAAAACCACAAATATTGGGAAAAAAATATAATAAAATCCCATAAGCTTGTTGAACTCTTGTCAGCCATCTGCATCAGGTAAGTTTTTTATTACAACAGCATTGCTCTCATGGCTGGTTAAGCTGTATGTTTTTTAACCAGTATCAGGTTGTAAAAATTTAAAGATAATAATCTGATTTGTTAGAAAAGAAGATATTTGGGATGCAGATGGCCTGAGCAGCTTGTGTGATAATTAAAGCTATAGGGTTATTTCACACTGCTCCAGCTTATGCCAGTTCAATCCTTCAGCATTAAACAAATGGCCTTTAGCTTGTAAGGTCACTGAGCTTTGGCTAGGTCAGAGTCAGGCTAATGGCTATTAGCAGCGGCCATTCTTGAGAATTATCCAATGTGGTATGACATCATGGTGTTAGATGAAGCTGCACATCTTTGAGACTTTTATTTGAGAATTACATGAGTAGGGTTGCAGCTGTAGACTACTTTTCTGTGGGCTTATTTAAAATTTTGGATCACAGTGAGATGAAGAAATGTGTTTGAACTTTATAAAAGTCAGAATAGGTTAGCGTAGAATTTTAGGAACATGCTTCCCGGTGTAATCCTTGGCACTTATTGAAATTCAGAAATCAAAACAATTTTGCAGGTTTTGGTCACAGTGACCCTCTGAAGGTCAAATGATGTCACTGACCTGAGAGTTATATCAGTTACCTTTTGCCATGAAGAAGTAAATAGATGAGGTGGTTAGATTGAAGGTGGTCACATAAGGAGGTCTGAGGTGACTTCACACACTTATCTGGAGTTGGACCTTGTTTGGCCTCATTTGACCCAAAAGTTGTGACCAATGGGCCTCAAAATTTCACATGACACACAGTGAGTGTGCATTTGACTCTATGCATTTCATCAACCTTGTATCTTTACCTCTCTTAGTTTTTAGACATCAGGACCAATTGCCCCCCACCCCCGCCCCATCCCCTCCCAGCAGTGCTTCATTTAACAGGCCATCAAGGCACTTGTTAAGTCAAGTAGTGATGATGCCATCCCACTTTGCCTTTTGTGTGAACACCTCAAGTTGTGGTTTCACACATCTTTCCATTCATTTTTTTCAGATACAGACCATGGTGATGGCACTGTTGAGGATTTGAAGCTGGGTGATGTCAGCCTGCTTACAGAAGATAGCATGCAGCAAGGTGAGCATACATGTGTATTTGACATGTCTTTTGTTATTGATGATGTCCATCAGTGCTCAGTTGGAGACCATGTGAAGCTGCTGGAAGGCAGTATGATGGTGTTTTGAAGTTGGTCACTCCTTTGGATGAAAACAAATTTCATGCCTGCAGAACAGCATGGCTTGGGCACAGCTTAGATAGCATGTCAAGTAGATCACCTAGTCCCCCAACTGGTTCATTGAAAGTACACCCCTGGTTGGTAGGACATCCACCAGAGCCATCTGAATAACAGTCATAGCACCTGTAATACACAATACTCATGCTCAGCTGTGGCCTCAGATGACCCAGAAGTGGCTGGAGAGGTGCCTCAGCCGACTACATGTGTCGTGATGGACCTGCCACTGGAACGAAGGACCAAGGAGAAGAAGGCGGCGCGCACGTCCCACTCCTGTGATTTTGCAGGCTGTGACAAGAAGTTCCTATCGTACCATTCGCTGAAGGTGAGGCTGTCCCACGCACGGGGGCCTCGCGCGCCGGCCCGCCGCTGAGAGTGCGGCCGGCGGCGGCCTCCGACGCCTTGCGTCTCTGTTAATGTAACGCTTGGCTTACGGAGGTGAAAATGCATGCAAAGCTACAAAAATTTAAAAAGTCACGGATGTTTTGAGTGTCTATTTTAGTGTCATTGGTGTAGAGCACTTTATGGGGTAAATTTCGGTGTATGTATGTGTAACTCTAGCGTTCAAATTCAGTTCTGTTTGAGTACTTAAGAAGAAGCGCGAAGAGCGCGTTGGAGACATTCAGCAAGGGCTCGTCCTTCACCGGCCCGCCCGCTGCCATGCGCTCCCTGACCGGCGGCCGGCTGCCGCAGTCTCACGCGATGGTACACTCGGGCGAGCGTCCGCACGCCTGCCAGTGGGCCGACTGCGGCCGCACCTTCACCAGCTTCTACAGCATGTCGGCCCACTGCCGCACGCACACGGGACAGCGGCCCTACGGCTGCACGGTGGCGGGCTGCACCAAGGCCTTCAAGACGTCGAGTGACCTGCGCCGGCATGCGCGCATTCACACAGGTCAGTGGAGGGGGGGGGGGGGGGGAGGGCGAGCTCGACCGGCTGGCTGACAGGGGATGTGAGGTGTACTGAAACACGTGCTTGCGTTGTTAATGTTGAAACACCGTGGAATGTGATTCACCAAAAGATGTCGGTGATTTGTATATATGGCCGGCGGTTTTTTCTCACGGGATGTCAGGGATGCTGGAAACTCGAGGTTAGTTCTGTACGTAGCTGGCGAAAGAGACAGGAGAAGTCGTGGCTCGCGTTCGATCTTTGCCAAATGCAATGGTATAGTGGTCTTAATGGCTACAGGACGTAAATCTCGTATCGGCCGCTCCATTGTTTGTTTCCAAGCTTCGCCGCCGGGGTGCCGGTAGTGTAGTGGTCTGCGCGTCTGCGTTAACCACTGCGCGTCTGGGAAACCAGAGGTACGGGGTTCGATTCCCCGCGGTGCCCGCCCTTCCTGCCAGGGTGAGAGGCAGGCGACGCCATATAGCCCCAGCAGCTGAGTACGTCGTAAAGCCCCAATGACACACAACCTTCACTGCCAGTGTGAGGAACGGTTGTCAGTAAGTGCATGCTGTGGCACAGTCCAGGGGTCGTATCTTTTTTGCCTTTCTATGGAACCCTCGAGTTTGCTCCGCGAGCCCGATTCGAGCTGTTATCAAGAGACTCATGTCGCTTTCCTTCGACGTATCGCGTCCGCTTCGTCTGCCACGGGCAGAACTCCTGCGTACAGTTCTCGGTGTTGATGGCCCGCGTGATCTCGCCAGGCGACAAGCCGTACGCCTGCAGCTTCCGCGGCTGCTTCAAGAGGTTCTCAACGCTGGACATCAGGAAGGTCCACGTCAGGACGCACACGGGTGGGTTCGTAGTGGAGGACGCCCTTTCTCGGTGCCTTGTCGCGAGCTGCGTGGACGAACAACTTAACGATGTTACGAACGACTGTTCGTAACATCGTTAAGTTTGAGTGTGTCCGGCCAGTCGTCTTCGAAAGGTCACTTTGCTGTGCTGTTTGTGCTGATTGTGCTGTGTTTCTGCGGGGATCTGGTGATGGGATGTGTGGCCCGCCCTCGCCGTGTGGTTTCATGTCGTCTGTTGATCTAATCTGTGAACACGTTGCCTTTCACCCTGTGCGACGCAGGTGAGAGACCTTACGTGTGTGAATTTGACAACTGCTCGAAGGCGTTCTCGTCCCAGACGAACTACAAGAACCACATGAGAACGCACACTGGGGAGAAGCCATTTGTCTGCAAGCATCCGGTATGTGCAACAGTCCCAGGATTTTTATAGGATTTCTGGGACTTTTCCCCGTTTCGCTGTATAGTCCCCCCCCCCCCCCCACACACACACAGACGCAAATTTGTGCTCGGCCCCTCACGTTCCAATGTGACGTCGGTCAAATCCACCGAGTTCACCGGTCGTGCGTCCGGGTTTGGTGGTAGGTTTGGTCGGTCACATATGCCGGTTCAGTCAGCTCAGCGGCTTCGGTCAAAGCACATGTCATCGGGTGGGGAGAACATCGGTACATCGGTACATCGCATCGGTAGCAGTGCTGTGATTGCATCCGGGGGAGACTCGTGTTAAACAGCAGGAAATGTACCGGTGCGTTCAACCCAACAGCTCATCTGGGAATTATCGACTCCAGTTTCCTAAGCTGGCCAATTAACCATCCGGGGAGTCTGCTGGGTGCAGTACGTGACTGGGGCTTGCGTAGCATGGTTATGAGGCTTTCATTTTTATGTGTTGCGCGCTGTTTTCTGATGCCCTGCATCCATCAATTGCAGGATTGTGACAAGAGCTTTACGGAGTACTCCACCATGTACAAGCACCAGATGGTGCACCTACAGAGCTTCATCGTGTGCGACGTGTGCAGCAAGAACTTCCGCAACATGAGCACGTTCCAGTCGCACCGGGAGCGCGAGCACAGCTGGCTCGCTCCGCACCCGGCTTCTCAGGAGCAAAAGGTGCGATATCCGCCCCCTGCACTCGGGCACCTCTGTCGGGTGCAGCCATGCGCCGCGACTGTTTGACATTGAACGTTGGAGAAGGGACCGTGACGCGTGCCTGGTGCCTGGGATGTGTTGGTCGTTGAGCAGGTCTTGCGCCATGCGTGACGTCCCCAGCTAGTTGAAGCGCGCCCAATGCTGTCATCTGAAAACTTTCTCATTTTTGGCCATGTTAGCTGCGGTGCGTAGGGGTGTCGTCACCTTGAAATGGATGCGAATTGGTGTCATCACGTGCAAACGTGGAACCGCATGAAATGTCTGGCCAGTGGGTTTGCTGAAGCGGCACCGGAAAAGCTCTGCCTCTTTGTCGGCAAGGAAGGGCAGCGTGCAGGGACGACTCGCTGAGGTCTCTCACTCTTCGTCCAATATCCGTTTTCTCGCGCCACTAACGCGCGATGATCCAACTCATGCACGATTGCTGTACACGCTGTAACCGTGCGTCTGGTGTCTTCTGCTGATGTTGTCGACCGGAGACCGACGCCGGCCCCGCGGCGCTGTCAGGCGTTGGAGGCGGATGTACCTCTTTCACCGTTCTCCTTTCTCCTTTCCCCATTCTTGTGACTGCACCTGTCTTTCCCGTGCCCAGGTCCTCTTGGCTTCATCTGTAGCACTGGCATGACCCATGCCAAGACATGTATTCACTGCTTCCCGGCTGTTGGGCGATTCGCTGTGTCGTTCGAATGGCCACAAGGCCAGTAGCCGCTGGCTAGGTCGGCTCCGAACGCCTGAATCGCTCCGGCTGGGCCCGGCTCGGCTCCCCGAGCGTCCGGCACCGCGTCCGGCACGGCCGCCCGCTCGCCGGCCGGCGCCCCGCTGACGCCCGCCTGTGCGCCGCAGGAGGGCGCCGAGGCGGCGGCCGCCCCGGCCAGCCCGCAGCGCATCCAGCTGCTGCTCACCGAGCTGGACGTGCGCACGGTCGAGATCAACGGCGAGACGGCCCAGGTGCTGGTGCTGCCCTCCGACGGCGACCGGCCGCAGGTGAGGTTCGCCGTGCGGCCCGAGAAGGGCGTAGCGGGGGGGGGGGGGGGGCGGTCAGCGGGTTGAAGACGTGCTCGTAAGGCAGCGGATCGGTCCCCGTTGTAAACTCGCGCGCGGCTATGTCCGGCTGTCAAACAGGCAAAGGCCTGTTCGACAACCTGCAAACAAGTCGGCGGGATGGGTTGGGTTGGATGTGAAAATATGCTACCAGCATATAGGTAGTATCTTGACACAAGTGTTGTGAACATGACTGCCCGCTGTTTGTGATTCCTGGTCACTTCGCGGTGTACGCTGGTGACTCAGGAGGGCTGGCAGCGTGCTGACATGCCTGTCGCCTATCGCTCCCCCCGCCGGCGCCGCCCGCCCGCTGCGGCCGTGTGTGACCCGCTCCCCCGCGCCAGCAGGAGTCGGGCGAGACTGCCGACCTGCACTTGCTGGGCTGCGCCGAGGCGCTGGTGGTGGAGGCCGACGAGTCGCCCGGCTCGGGCGACGCCCCCTCGCCGGCGCTCTCCGCCGATGACCCGGACCCGCTCTCGGTGGTGGTGGAGGAGCAGGCATGAGCCGCCCCGCCGGCGGAGGAGGCAGGACTGGAGTGGCGCGGTCGCGGCGCTGAGCACGCAATCCGCCTCGGTCGTGGTGTAGGAGGGCGTGTGACCCGGGGCGGCCCTCGTGCCGGGCGGGAGGCGCGGGCGCTGCTGTAAAATGGGGAGGTGTTGTGTGGTGTGGTGTCGTAGCCCGGTGGCTAGGAGAACACAGTCTGGACGCCTCGTGGCACTTGGGGTGGGGTGTCTTGGCCCGGGGGTAAGAGGAGCGGAGTCTGAACGCCTCGTGGCGCGCATCGCTGGTGGTGAGCTGCGATTGAGCTGTGTAAGAGGAGGGAGGCGGTTGCCCTGAGTGCGTTTAACGTCGGTGAGTGACAGTTGGCACTTCATGGCGTTTCACCCACACTGGCGCCGCGCCGAGCAGTCGAGTTCTGGATGGTGGCCTCAAGCGGGTTTAGCACCGTAGTCTAGGCCGTTTATGTAGCGGAACGTGCTGTGCGTTTTCCCCTCTTTGTTGCGGTGTCGTCACGTAGTTTACTTCGTGTTGCCATGGATGACGATCATGATTGTGATGACGCCCAGTGGCTCAGTTCTGCTTTTGCTCGGTACGTAATCTCTGTTTGTGTGAGTGTGGCTTATGCTTTGAAGTGTGAGACCAGTTTGGCTGCGGTGTTATATTTACCAAAGAGTCGTTGCAGTTGGTCGTAGGTGGGTCGTTTTTTTACGGATTGGCGTGTTTGCGCCCGGCCTATCGTGTGTCGGCGATCGTCAGGTTCCACTCCATGGGCGTTGGTCAGACGACGCCTGTTGATTCCCAGTCAGGTGATGGAGACCGCTCCGATCGGAACATGTATGGGTAGATTTACTCCCCATGGCCAAATCCGCTTGGCGTCCGTGTTTCAATTGAAATGCAAGCAAAGGGCTGGACAGACCAGTGCTGGTGCTATCCTGGCGAATGACACGAATGATCCTACGCATAGTATTGCTAGGGTTGAATCAATCCATCTTAAATTTCTGGGCTGTGCTATTGCTTCCTGACTTCTAAATGGTGTCTCCAACACGGCTTATGGCGGTGCTGATCAGGTGAACGGTTGAATTTTACAGCGGTTTTGGAGCAGCCTGGGATAGGTGCTGCCATCTTTTGGGCCATAGCACTATTTATATTTCCCATAACCCTCGCCGATGCCCTTCCTTTGCCCGGCCGGTCATTGGTCGCTGCTCCGTGGTTGCAACAGAGATAAATGTGAAACGTGAATAAAAGACAACGCATATTGTCTCACAACTTATGGTATGAATATTGGGCTAAGCTACGTGGCATGGATTGTCAATAAAAGCCCGGAACATCGTGTACCAGTTAATGCCGTTCCATCAAGTGCTGCCAGTGAGCAAGCAGCCCGGTTGTGTTTATTTCAGTGTGTCCGAATGGACTGGTGACCCGGCGATATATGGCTGAACCGTCAAAGCGCGCAAAATTGACCATAATGCCACAAGCTCCTGTGTTTCAGTGGTCCACGGGACTACAAGCCAGCATTTTCACAGGCGCATCGATTAATTACGTGTTCAATCTTCCTCGACTAAAAACATGATAAATGGAGAGTATGCTCCCAAGCGGTTTTGCGATGATACCAAAATTTCCGTTGTATGGAAGTTGCAAGCACTATAATACATGTAATGTGTCCGTCTTGCTTAATTTCTTTATCATCGAAGAACTGTGACAAGACTGCTCGTAGAGAAGCTCTCAAAGTGAGTGTGACTGCATGTTGGAATTTGCAAGAGACTTGAGTTGGGCCTTGCTTCCCGGCGGGGATGAGCCCAGCTGGACTCGGGGCTGAGCTCGGACTCATGTTGGGGACGATTGGACTTGGGCTCGGGCTGGTCCAGCAATTTTAAGGAACTTCTTGAAATTCTGGCTCTGGTCCAGCAGTTTTAACGTTTGAAGTGATTAAAATCTGGAGCCCTAAGCTGGATTCGGACACAAATGAAAATAAGAGCAAGAAGAAACAGATGAAAGATGATTAGGACTAAAAGTAACTTGAATACGCTCAGTTCCCTTCCTATCCTATTTAAAAGTCATTGACCTACCTTTGTGGTCGCAGTGCACACACGAGGTGTAATTGCGTGGCTGATCTTTCTTCAACGTGTTACAGCAAATAGGCCTATCGGCATGTGCCCTAAAAGTTGCGATGTGGGGTTTGACTTAGAGAATATCGGACATGTAGTTGGGCTGGGTGGGCCAGGCTTGGTTTGGTTAGCCTAGGTTAGCTTGAAATGATCTGGGCTGGGTCCCATTCTGTTCGGATGATTTCATGTCCAATCGTTCAAGGCTGTTCAAGGTTCTCCGTCTAGAACTCCGGTTGCGGTTACGTTTGGTACATGCAGAGCACTCAACGGTAGATGATGACCTCCCAATTAGTAGCCACTAGCGGACTGGGGTGTCAGGGGCGGTGGCCCAGGCTGCTGATAGCAACTGGCCCGAACTTTTTTTATTGAATTCAATTCTGCGAGCAGCGCTCGCCCAGGCAGTACTTGTTGCGTGTGCTCGCCCTACCTTCCAATCGGGGAAATTCCAGATCACGGGCAAAACTTTGCGGCGGAAGTTTCAAGTGCCACAATGTTCGGTATGGTCCGGCCTGATCGCTACCGCTACCTGATCTTTAGTTCGCTGCTGTCACCGGCTACAGGCCATTCCGGTCATGAACGTATAGCGCGCACCTGAAGCGACTCGAACCCACCCCGCCAGAGGCGGGTGAATCGGAAAACTGCCGCTAATGACATGGAAGATTAACTGGGCTAATGACACGCACAACTACACCGTTCTGACTTCTTTACGGCACGTGTTCTACAATGTCTTAAACGCTTTTCGCAGACGTCGTTTGAGCGGCCTGTCAGATTAAGCCAACCGCAGCCGGGTCTAGTCGCGTCCGACACGTGCCGCATTTGTCACAGGGATGGGTGAATGAACTTGCCGCCGAACGCACTAAATTTTGAATACATTCGATGCTTCGCAATCAAAACCGTCGTATTTGCACGCATATTTAATATTTGCCATTAAGGGAACTTTATCAAGGGAGAGAGAGAGAGTTTGAGCCAATTCTGTTAAAACCCTTGCAATTTCGTGGGTTCTAAAATTTACCTTTTTCATGCATGCGACTGTCGGCCGCTGAGTGATGGGTGATCGTCTTACCCCAACGATATAATCAAATCAATAGTCTATGACGAAGGCGCCGTTCAGAGATGTATGGCATGCGCTTATAGGCTAGGATGCTACCAAGTTTTGAGTGCATCAGTTTACCTTTTTTAAATGTTAACAGCTCGGAAGCTGGGAAAAGCGATAAGTCGCATTGGTGGACAGGCACCCGTTTATACATACATGTTATATGAACACACACGACATGAGCCTGCTCTTTACTTAAGTGTGGTTCACACGGCCTGGGTTCGAAATGGCATGTCCTCGACACTAGGCAAATTCGACCGAACATCGCGTGACCCCGGTGACCTGTGCCGGCCGCCAAGGTAGAGCACACCAACTGTTACCTACTGAAGTCGAGATGCTAACTCCGACAATCCAGCTGTGGTGGGACGCCTCTCTGATAACAAGAATGGGTGACAAAAACAAGCCATAAATGACAAATGAATGGAAAAGGAATGATGATGGACTGAAAAGATAATGGGGAAATGAATTAACGTAGTTGCCGTAGCAGACAGATGGCTGCCACCGCTATGAGTGCCAAATAAGGTGCCAATTCAGAACCCATTACTGACGTCTTCCAGGCTGTCTTTGGACTAAACGATATTTCTTCTGGTGACTGGGTGGAGTGGTCTCCTAGTTCCAACTGACCATGACCAGACGGGGCTGCTCATTGGAGCGTAATGCTAACACGAGATGGCGCGTCACCTCACCCCTTGCAGTGAATTGATTACTCACCGCGTCACAATATTTTTCAAATCTTAAGTGCTTTTAAAACAATGAATGCCTTTGCATGACCGCGACCGTGTTGAGCAGCGCGACCATGCGTCACACAACCTACAGGATGCCCACAACTTTTCTTTTCGAAAATAGCCTACGTAACTATTTTACGGTACAGTCTGGCTGTTTACGACAGCCATCTTTTCGCTTGTAAGTTAGAAGACATGGAATTGATGTTCCCTGAAGATGTTGCCAAGGGACCCCGGACCAAACCTGTTTGTGCCTAGTGGACGACATCCATGAGTTTAAAATGGGAATATACACTACATCATGTCATGCCCAACAAGACTTTGTTAGCAAACAAAACAAACCTCTTTACCGTCGTGTTACAAATGAAACGAGACGTGTAATGTGACAAACAAAAAATGGAACTAGGAAAAATGTTAAAACTTCAAATGAACATTATACAATGCACGCTTGAGTTCAGCCTCAAATTCAAAGTAAATGCAATAAACTAGCCATAACGTTTGCTATGTTTTGGGCAGACATACCCTCCTTAGTTTACCTTCGATATAGCGACTCAGTTTTTAAATTATGTTCTCAAATACTGGTTTTAAGATTTACTAGTTAACTTCAAAACTCACTAAGGAAGGTATGTTTGTCAGGGATGGTGGATTTTGCAGCTCATATTATGTCTTTAATTCCAGTTTGAGACCGAAGTCAAGTGTATCATTCAGTCTTGGAGTTTGAGACTGAGTGTACGGCATAATATTGACAAAAATGCACAGTCGCGGGAATAGTTGGCTATCGACAAATAACATTTAAGCGTTTTACTCCCATGGACTGCCACATCAACACAACACCACAAAATCTGGCGCACTATTTGACGTGAAATACATACCAAGTGGTGCTGAAATTGTAAAATTCTGCCATGCCTGCATAATCTTATGCAGAATAAAAGCCGTTAAAGACTATTTGACTTAATGGGGTCAAAGGTCAGGACACATAAATGTCGCTTATCCTCGCACTTTCAACAGATATACGAAATGAATGGCGGTTGATGCTAGTATTTCCAAGTTCTAGGACATGACATGGATTCTACCTGTGCCGGGCTTCCAAGTTATGTTACTTTCTGCACTGCTATGGAGACTTGAAACTGTAGTCAGTGAAAGAGTGTGAATCAAGTCTAGGTCCAAATCTGACCGCAGAGGGTTTCTGGTATCACAACTTGACGCGTGGTTATTGTATTTGGCATGGTGCGATTCACTTTCAGCGAGTTTCGCGAAACTCGAAAAGATCCATAACCTAGATTGGCTTACCTAAAATTATGTCTATATTTGGAGTGGAATGCCACAAGCATCCGTCATTTGGATATTGATAACGTTCCCGCCTGCTGCCACACATATCTTGTCACTTGCCTCCCCTTCCCACGACTCCAACGTCGTCTCCGCACGACGTCAGATAAGAGGTGAGTTAAGTTAGATGTTAGAGTACGGCATTTACGGTTTTTACCGCTGACGATTGTTATTACGGAAAATGTATCTCCTGCGATTCCCCGTAGGGGATGATGGAGTAGGATCCCAGGCCTCGGGGCTTGGACTTCGTGTAAATCCTATGTGCGCTGAAAAGTAATGAACCCGGACCCAGGACCTCTGGACACGAGCTTGAGCCCATGTAACCTGTGAGGGGCGAACTCGGGACTAGTACTCGCGCCCATTGTGGCTTGGACTCGGAGTCGTACTCCGAATTTTAGATGCAGGCCCGTGCCTGGGCTCTAGCAGCAGGTGTCGCCAAGGGGCGACAAGCGTGCCCCCCTCAACCTTTACATAAGACCCGCCGAACCCGGGGTCTTTCCAAAATCCGAATAGAGGGGGGGGGGGGGCGGCAGACCAGCGGGTTTGATCCGTCATCGCGTGCATCCCCCTCCCCTCTCCGTGTACGTCTGTCAGTTTGCCCCTCAGTCTTAGCGACTCTAGGAACTGTCGTTGACATTGCGACACGTTATGCTTGGTCCCAAGGCTGTCCAAGGTGCTGTGATGACAGGATAGCTAATGTCAGTTTGTTCCTCAGTCCTTGTGACCCTAGGTACTGTCATTGACATCGCGACATGTTATGCTTGGTCCCAAGGCTGTCCAAGGTGCTGTGATGACAGGTTAGCTAATGATTCCGGTTTGCACTACACGGGTGCTCAAAAGTGCAGATGTCGGCACTAATGTCGCATGCTTCGATGCGCGATATTGTGCTATCGTGTTATTGGTTCGAAGATAGTATTGTGGTTCGGTGTCCTGTCTATTCTAAACAGTATCCGGTGACTAATTAAGTCAGCTCTTTCAGGATCATCCACGTAATGTCCTATGCGATCCTGATTCCCGTTGGACCTCTTGACCTATTCCAGACTAAATCCTGGTTCCTGCTAGATCCCTTGACATAATCCCAGACTGTGTCTTGGCTTTTGCCAGATTCCCGTAT